ATTGCTAAAAGGATATATATTTATTTTAATGACCTATTAAATTTGCAGAAAAGCAAGTCACAAAATTATGACTAATCAAGATATCACATATCACACCAAAAATATTTTTTGCACTTTGTAAGTTATATTATTACTCACATCACTATTATCTCTGTTGTATTTTATAAATAACAAAACATTTTTAAAGGAAAAGGTTCACATGTAAAAGTCTTTTAATAAGACTTTTTTCCTGCTTTTTCAACAGGGGCCCTACATTTTTGTTTTGCACTGGGCCCCTTAAATTATGTAGCTTGCCCTGTGCACAGAAAAAAGGTATTTTCATGTTTCATCTGGTTAGGGAAACAGCTATATTTCTAATGTAATCAAAGCCTTTAAAGCAGTTTCTCAACACTGTTACATGGGAGAAGGAAAAAGTTATAACTCCTATAAATGTTCAAACAATTCTTGCAAGCCCAGTATAACAGAAGGTTCTAGTTGGTGGAAGGGGACCTTAAAGATCACAATTACATAGATAGCAAAACTAAGGCAACAAACTGATTGTTTTGAGGTCACAAATGATTTAAAGGCAGACTTGGGACTAAATCTCTAGTCTCTGGAGTCTACTTGGTATAGTTTTTACCACTGGTTTTTTCAGATTGTATGGGTCCAGGTAATCAGAAAGTGCTCTAGGCATTTCAAACAGAATAGTATGAGTGATGACCACCAAGAAAGAAGCATGGAACAAAGGAACTAGAACAATGGAAGAAAACAAAGCTATTGCCAGAGCTATCTCCAGAAGCAGAAAGGGGAGAGATACCCTGCCTTCTCCCTTTCTCCCTCCCGGACTTTCATTTTTCTCTACAGATTTCCATTAACAGAACTGAGCTGGAAGCCAGCTGACAGAAGAGCCTGGAAAACTCAGTCTATAGGAGTCGGCTCCTGTGATATTGAGCAAAGCAGAGAAAGGGTGAGAAGTGGATTTGGAAGCAAACAAGCAAATGACTGGCACACTGAATAAGGCAAGGCTAACAACTTCTTCAGGTCTGAGTGCGACCTGATAATCTAAAAAGTTCTGGTAGCCAGATATTGTCGGCAGTGCACAATTATTGAGATAACACATGTAAAGACCTTAGTTACAGTTCATGGTATAATAAGTAGAGATTAAAAACATCAGCCTCATTACCATAATGGCAATCACTATTAGCACTATTAAAAATAATAAAAGAGATTTTAAAAAATAATAAAAGAATCACGAAAATTTGCCAAAAGATAATGATAAGACTACTACTTAACATATTAAATAAGAAGACAAAGCTGAATTTATTACAAGGGGGGACTATGCCGGTCAGGCAGTCTCTCCAAGCAAACTGTTGTCCTAATATATATAGGTTCTTTGTTTTGTGGAAATATAGAGTGCCAGGAATTGACATTTTACCTACAAATTGGGTTATTTAATTTTTGTTTTGAGTTGTAGGAGTTCTTTATACATTCTGGATACTAACTCCTTATCAGATTTGCAAGTACTTTCTCCCTTTTCACTCTGTTGATGCATTCTTTGGTACACAAGAGCTTTTAAGTTTGATGTAGTCCTGTTTGTCTGTTTTGTCTTTTGTTGCTTGTGCTTTTTCTTGTGTCATGTCCAAGAAACCACTGCCAAGTCCAATGTCATAAAACTTTACTCCTATGTTTTCTTCTAGGTGTTTTGTAGTTAAAAGTCATTAATCAATTTTGTGTTAATTTTGTATATAGTATAAAGTTAGGGTTCAATTTCATTCATTTGCATGTAGATATCCATTTTTTCCAGCACCATCTGTTGAAGAGACTTTCCTTTCTCCATTGAATTGTATTGGCACCCTTTGACCACATACGTGAGGGTTTATTTCTGGGATCTCTATTCTACTGCTTTGATCTGTTTGTTGGTATTCTTTTTTCAATGTAAGACCCATTAACAAACAATATTGTCAGCATTTAGTACTGGAGCAACAAAGAATATTAAGTCAGCAGTTAGTATTGGAGTATCTAAAAATTCTGTTCTTTCCATGGATTACAGAAACACAATTAGATTTTCTTCTATTGGGTAAGGGTAATAGAGTTACTGAAATAAAAGTGTTTCACCAGTGGATAATAATATGAGAAGAAAGTATCAGTACTTTATAATTAGTTAACTGACTAGAATGAAAATGCTGAATGTTTTTCTTCAGCAATAAAGAATTACTATATACAACAGCATCAGATTTAAAGGTGATTACAGTACAAGATCTGAAGATGTTTTATTTCATTGAGGCTCGTAATTGTTCTGAGGCGACTAAGCTAAACCTTGGTTACTAAAGAAAGGAATTGGCTTTAATAGGCTATAGGTCTTAAATGTATGCCATGTTGATGAACTAAGACCTTACAGTATGACCTAACTTTCTCACGTTTGCACACACACAAAAAAGAAGAGTTTATATAATTCAGGAAGATTTTTAAGAGCTGTATTGTAATTAATCTGCCTGTGTGCGTAGAATCTTTGTCCATGTGAATTCTGGGACCATAGATATTTCTTCAGTGACTTCTTGAGTCATACATATTGTAGGTATATTATTAGTCATATCAGCTACAATTTTATTGTGTCTGAGAAATTTTCTGGATTTTAAAAGTAATCCTTTTGCAGTATACTTTATCTGGCAGTTCCATTTGCCAAGTAAATCCCTACTTATTAAATCTGCAGGAGTTGTGTCACAGAGAAGAAAGGAATGTCCTTCTGATAGTGATTCCAAAGTATCAATTACAGGTTGGGGCTTGGGAAAGGACTTAAGATTTTTAGAAATTTTCATTATTTTAGTGCTTCCAGTAAACCAAAGCACATAAAGCTTGTTTTTCCTCACACTTCTCACAATTTACTGTATATCCTCAAATTTGTCTTTTATATCTTCTTTCACCATCTGGTACAGTCATTTTTACTTTAAGATAAAAATTCTCTCTTTTTTTTATTGGAAGCTTTTTTGGTTTTCAAACAACTCTGAAATTTTACTCTGAGGAATCTGATGCTCTATAGAGAAGAGATTAATGGTAGATATAGTGGCTCCCATAGCAATAAGAAAGCTGTATTAGTCCCTTTGAGAATTTAGAAGAAAGAAAGAAAAGTGTTGAGGCTTAATGTCACCCTTGGAGCAGCACCAACAGACACATTTTAGATAATTGTCCTGCTGTTTATTAGCCACTATGGAACATCTATTCTTTTAGTTACCATTGTATTTGCAATATCTACAGGTTTCCTTATTCATAGACTCCCAATTTTTAAATAACAGAGATTTTTAAAGTTATCTTTACTAGTAAACCAAATACTATATTGAGTTTCAGTTATATATTTCCTAAGGCTCTGGAAATATCTAGCCGCACACTGAATATTTTCTAGACTGGCAATTTTACATTTTGATTTCTTTTTTATTATTAAATTCCTTATTTCACATTTGATCCCATTTACAAGGAGAGAATACACATCCCTAAGTATGCCTAAAAATAATTTTTTAAAAGTTTATATAACTGGGTGATTTAAGTCTTTTCTTTCCTATCTTTTTGCTTATTAAGCATTTTCCCTATCTGAGAGGCTAAGCATTAGCTGAACTAGTTGTTACAGATCTGTAGTTGAGGAAATTAAGTATGTAACAAAATATTAAATTTTGTAAAAAACTTTTGCCTATATTCTGAAAGTTTAGGAACTTCCTTAACTATGTCCCTTAATCTGGCTCTAGACAAGAATTTTAATTTAACCTTCTGGTCTAGAAATTTTATAATATAATTGTTCTTTTCCTGAGAAAACCCTGAAAAAAGAATAGCTCATTTAGAAGGTCAAGTAAGCTGAGTAGAAAACAAAAGAGAAATGCAAACTGAATAGGTTTCAAAGGGTTATAAAGTCTTTAAGAGAGACCATCTTGAGATAGAATTGTTTTGAGGCCTTAGCATATCACTTAGCTAACTAAAAGGATATCAATTAAATTAGCTGACTAATAGCTGACATATCAATTAAAAAAAGCTGACTTGATTATTTGGTAATTTGTCCCCTAATATTTTTAGAGTTCCTCTTAAAGATTCTATTAATTTGAGGATTTAGACATGTCAAACATGATACAATTAAGTCAAATATTTTTTTGCCGGTTACCAAGAAAAGTACAAAAGTTAAAATTACAGTGCTTCTTAAAGGAAATAGAAGCTCTTCCAGGAGGAGGATGAGACTTTGGCATTGACGAAACCCATAACACACAAGAATGAGGCCACTACAGTCAGTCTATAGAATGGGCTTTTGAAGGGTGTCTGGGTTCCCCAACCAGACTAAGATAGGGCCACAGAGTCAACAATCTGGCAGTCCTTGATGCTTGAGTAGGAACAAATAGCAAAATGAGCTTCTTTCACAAATTAACAAGAAAGAGGGTACCTTCATAAAGTTTTATAAGGGACTCTATAAAAGACAAAGTTTGACAAACCCTTTTTTCATAGATTGATTTCTGGTCTAACAGACCTCTAACCATTAGCCCTCAAGGCTGCTTGCATGGAGTTGAAAATTTATCAGGCATATGCTTCCATCTATTCCCTATGAAACACTCCTTTATACATTCAGAAGAAACAAAACAACCTAACACAAAAAAAACCCCACATGAAACAAGACTTTCAACATATAGACAAACTGCAGCAAAAGCAAGGCAAGCAGCAAGAGAATAAGCAGATTAAGGGCAAAAGAAAAACACAAACATTTCTAGATGGCATACATGCAAAACAAAAGGTCTAATGATCTTATACAAAGTTCTAGGTTTAATTATTTACCAAGTAGTGCACCTCTAAATCAAAAGGTCTAATTTGCTCTACACAAAGATCTAGGCCAAAACAAAGTCCTACTGGTTACAAATCCTAGAACAACAAAATAAATTGAGCAATATGAACTTGATGAAACTAGTCAGAGATAAGATTATTGTTGAGACCAACTCACTTGACGACATATCTAAAGAATAAATAGAATTTTGGCAGAAGGTGCCCAGTGAGTGTACCTGTTGTCTTGAGGGTCCCCTGGAATGCTGCCAAATGAACTCTTTAAAACGATTTCCGTGGAATCTCCAAAATTGTTCAATGAGACCATCACTCAACATCTGAAATAAAAAGACAAAGCTAATTTTTCACTTGTTAGAATAAGAGATATTGGTCAGGCACAATCTTTCCAAGCAGAACAAACTGCAGATCTTATGTAAGGTTTTGAGAAAGCCTGTAGTTCAGGAACTAGTGGACTTTCAGAGGTGTAAGTGGTTTGACATCATCTGTGGAAGCCCGGTTACTCAGATGAGACTATAGTTGGTTGAGTACCACTCAAAGACATGCTAATGGAGCGAGTCTGTCCCTGATTGGCTGACTTTCAGAAGTGAGAGACTGAAAGAGTGGTTGGCTGGTAAAAGTGTTTACCAAGGCAAGTTGTTGTTTGACAGAACGGGTTTAAAAACAATTATGGTGGCTACTTGTTACATGGCTTCAGAATAATTAGTCTTTCTTCACATTTGTAAGAACTTTTTTTTTTAATTCTCAAGTGCAAAAATAAGATAAAAGAAGAAAAAGTAAGAGAAATATTGGAAGCTAGTCATGGTATCAAAAATGTTACAATTTACTACTCTGGAACAGGTGCCAGCCTTTGAGTTAGTTGGCAAAGTTTTCAGTATGAGTGAGTTCTGTGTGTACAGTTGTATTTTATATGTTGAGCAGTAGAAGAAGGAAAAAAGGGATGCTTCTGGAAGAAGAGTTGCAGCTGAAATCAGTACATATTTAGATAATTTCAAAATTTTATTCCCATTTGGCATTCACATTTATTGTACACAGTATTCCTTTTTCGGAAATATATTTGTAAAACACATATGTAAATTTGTTGAGAGCGTTTTCTGTATTCCACTTTTGCCTTTCCTTACTTTTTCTTCCTTCTTTCATCATTACAGCAAGGTTTTCTTCAAAGAACTTCATAACTTCATCTTTTTTTATATTTGATATTGTAAGCCCCTTCTAGTTTTATGAGATACCCTCTTTATTTTCAAGGCAACTAGTTACAATGTTATTTATAACCACAGAGTTAACATTCCATCATAGATCCAAACATTAAAGAACATAACTCTAAATTTACTTTCGGAAAAGAAGAGGAAGAAAAGACAGTATCCGTATGATTAGTAGCTTGATTTCTGGATTCAGACAGATCTGAGTTTAAGTTCTGACACTTCCATTTATGAACTGTGTGACCTGGGGCAGGTTACTCAACTTCTCCAAGCCTCTGTATCCTCATCTGCAAAATGGTGATAATAAATAATACCTATTTCACATGGCTATTGAGAAGATTAAAAGCAAATTACACAGAGAGCTTAGCAGAGTTTCTGGCTCACAGTAGACATCTAATAAATTGAGATATATTATTGTTGTAATTAATAGGAGAAAATATAAAGGTATATGCTAAAATAGATAATTTATGTTTTTCTCATTTCAATTTGTTTATACATTAATAAAAATTACTTTTAACATTTTGAAATTCTTTTCCCAACACTTACAACACAAAACCCTACTTAGATCTTCACAACTATTTAAGGTAAGAAATATGTGGATAACTATGTTAACATATTTATAAAAAGAAAAAGTTTTACTTGGGTAAGATAACAAAGGTGAGAATATGAGGTCAAAGAAATGTATAGATTATTACATGTGGCAAAAGTATCCAGGAATGATGGTAATTTACATCACCCCCACTGTTATAAACTCAGTCTATGTAATAGCATATTACATGGAGCCACAAGCTGCTACAGCAGAAAATAATGGAGTGCCCAGTTGCGACAGGGTGTCCTGATCCTTATGATTGGCTCTAAGATATAGGGATATTGAGAAAGGCTTGCACATAACAAATAATTCTTTTGTGAAGGTGGCGGCTCATACCATTGCACCCTGGGAAAACAAAAGTTCTAAATATCTCTGGTTGAATAATTATCTATTGAATGAATGTACTGTATTTAACCATTCTCTCCGTGGAACATGAAGTTTTCCTCCAATTTTTTTTTTATTTTTACATTATAAATGATGATACTATCTTTGTATGCAGAAGGGTTTTTCTTCCATTAAAGCAAGACAATGCAGTGAGTATGAGTCCAGATCCAGAAACTTCAATCTCAGTTCTGCCACTGGTCAACCATGTGATCTTAAGCAATTTATCTAACCTTGGTGTCCCTTGGTTTTCTCATCTGTAAAATGGGAATAATAAAAATACCCACTTCATATGGCTGCTATGAAGATTGAGTTAATTTGTATAAAGCACTTAGAAAAAAACCTGGCACGAAGTAAGCATTCTAGGAGGTAATTACTATTAATGGCGAAATCTTGTTTTAGGATGAATCCATAATTATAAAGGACATTTATATTTTTATGCTCTTGATATTTAATGCTAAGTCATCTGTTTAAAGAATTACTCTATTCCCACAATTTATACCAACAAGGACAATGCCTGGATGTGTACTTTTCCCCAGCCTTGTTCGCAGCTTTATTTTTCTTATACTTTTAAATTCATTAAGTACAAGATATTACCTTATTGTTTTTAATGCAAATTTATTTGCTATTGAAGGTATATCTTTAAGTGTTCTCTTATTTGAATGTTGTTCATGTCCCTTTGTTCTTTAGAAGTTTAGTGTTAGGCTTTAGCTTTGACTAAATAGCGATGTTTTAAAATTTCATTCGCTCACCTGTAATATTCACTATAAATAATTCTCTCAATCTGTTTCCTTTTTTAGTTCTTTTTATTAATTTTTATTTTATAACTATAATTTTATAGTCATATACATCCATCTTCTATTTTTTTCATTTGTTTTCTCTCCTATTTTTCTTACTTTCTTACAATTTGATTTGTTAATATTTAACTTCTAAAAGTTTTTTCCTAATGGGCAAAGACTCTGTTAGTCATCATTGTATCTGCATGCCTAGCCCAGTCCCAGCACATAGTGGGCAAACAATAAATATTTATAGAATGGATAGGTAAGTGAAGGAACAAGTGAATTGGCCTCAGTAGTCCACAGACCACACAAACCTGGAATTACAGAATAAGGTCACATTTCCTTTAATAGCCAAATTAAGAAAACTATGAACCTGCATTCCACAGGCTGTAAGAAACCCATTCTTCTTTGGAATTTCTGTCCTACAGGCCTATTACATGTTCTCCTATATCGGTCCTCATGATTATATAGAACCACTTGTCACTCTGCCAAACCAATTTCTCTCCCAGCATGTACACTGATTTCTCCCTTAATTCTCCAAGGCACAACAGAGACAAGAATAAAGCAGTTAACAAAAATGTGCTGCAGATTTGGGGATGAAATAACGACAATGCAATGTACAGTATAACTACTGCTAGAAGGAGTTACTTTTAGAACACCCAATGTGGCAGTGGTCAGCTCGACCCCACCAACAGAAAACTTCCAAGCATCTCCACATTCTGGAACACTGGCCCTAAGAACCTCTATGGTAGGAGTGGTAGTGGAAGTGTAAATGTGTAGGTGCCCATGCATGTGTGTGTGTGTGTGTGTGTGTGTGTGTGTGTGTATGTGTGTGTAGAACAAAGAGAGACACAGAGAGACAGAGACATTCAGAGAGAGATCTTTCCTCTCCAAATCCATTCCCTGCCTCATATGGCTGTTGTGAAGACTGAATAAGTTGAACAAATTAAACAATTGGTAGTAGGAACACCTACCCATGCAGAGTATAATCTGTCTCCCGTTGCTCCATCAAGTTGATGATAAAAGTCAGCAGTGCATTTTCCCAGTCTGAGTTATTCTGTGCTTAATAACACTATGTGAAAGGCATCAATGATCCAATCCAGGTATTACCATACAAATCCAGTCTTACTGATTTCCTTTCACACTTTTTATCTCCAGCATAAAGAGATCAGGCCTATACAACTCTCTTGGCATGGTTCAGTAAAACAATCTCCTCTAAGCAATTAGTTGGATAAAACTCTCTCTCTCCTCCTTGCTCTCTTTGCAAGGACAGGCCAGCCTAATCCATATTCTGGTGCTCCTCCACCACCTAGTTTCTATGTTGAAATCCTAATGCCCAATGTGATGGTATGAGGAGGTGGGGTCTTTGATGAATGAGATTAGTGCCTTATAAAAGAAGTTCCAGAGATATCCCTAGCCCCCTTTTACCATGTGAAGACACAAAAAGAAGTCTGCCACCCAGAAGAGGGCCCTCATTGGACTATGCTGGCACCCTGATCTTGAACTTCCAGCCTCCAGAACTGTGAGAAATAAATTTTTGTTGTTTAAGAGTTTTGCAGTATGGTATGTTGTTACGGTGGTCCGAACAGACTAAGACACAGGGATACATTTTTTCCCGAAAGGATTTATGTCAAACAATAAATTCAATTTATACTTCTAAACCAAATTTGTCACCTTACTGGAGACTTCAATTTCCTCTAAAAGAAACAAGTGAGAATGAGTACTTGCTCTACATTGATGTAATTAAAAAGGCCTGTTCTGGTGATTTTCCCAAAACAAAGGACATCTTCTCCAAAGATGAATTAATGATTCCACCTCTGTAAAAAACAGTCGGCAGCTTTTAAATGATTTTATGCCAGCTTTCGAAAATAGTAAAGTCCTGATGGGCAGCCTCTTGCAGAAGTGGTAACAATGTAGCATGAGGTAAAGGTCTAAGTTGATTTTTCCTCACATTAATACCTGGTTTTCTTACTAGTTTTTAAATCATGACTCTTTATCTTTTGGGTAGACTCTTTATCTTTTGAGTTCATATATTAAACGTGTATGTAAACTAGGTTTTCTATTCCTTTCAATTACCCTTTACTTCATTTTTCAATTAATGCCATATCATTTCCATTCATTTCCTTTAAAGTTCTAGTACCTAACAAAGATAGTTCCTCCTCATTGTTTTTTTTCCCCACAAATTGATAATTGTGCCAAAACAGTTTTGGAATCATTATGTTTAACTGTATAAAGTATTCCTTGGTTTTTATTAGGAATATGTTAAATCTATACATTGATTTGGGGAATATCTCTACTATTCACAGCCATGCTATGTCTCTGAATTTGTTTTTTAATTCTTTCATTAAAAGTTTTTTTATAGTTTACTTTAT